AAGTACATTTTTTGGAACTCAGAAATAGGAAAAACTAATTTGCAAAAAAAGAGGAAAGGACTAAATTTGTTCTTAGGAACACGTAATCTAAAATTAATCTCACTTGCTACAGCAAAATGCATTTTCAAGTGGGATACATTTAATCGTATTTTAGAGCACAAATCAACTTACTTGCAAAAATATATGTTTAATTCTGTGTAGAGGGGGAAATCACTGGGGAGAGGACCATAAAAGGGAAAAGTCAACTAAGCAGATAATCTGCTCTGCCGAAGTGAAAGAAAAGGAGTGTAATCGAAGATGACAGCACTCTTCCAGCAAATGCTTGCAAAATGCAAGGAAACATTATCATTAACAAAATGCAGTGTCTTTGTTTTAAGCTGCTCCTTCTTTACCAGTATCCAAGGAGAATAAAGGAAAATAAAATAAACTACATAGATATGATCTTAGTCATAACTGGTGGAGGGGGAGGGAAGAGAAGCCAACTGAATACTGTACACCAGTAAGGTTTTATAAAAGATTGGATAGTGAATAGGAAATTGAATCAGTGTAGTGGAGATGACAGGGCAGTTTCTGCAGGTGGCAAATGGCTGATCACAGGCCTTCATGTCCAGGTGTAACACGCAAGAACTAAAAAAGTTGCAGGACTGGACACTGACATTTCAACAGAAACAGACGGAAGCTATTCCAGGCACAAAATAAGACCATACCTGAGGAAATGCTAGGAGCTAGCCAACATGTTACAGAAAAGCAAAGAAATCAGCACCTATTTAGTCAAAGCTAGACAAAGAAGGATTTCAAAAGAACTTTTTGACAGTTGCTTCTCCCATTTCAAGGAATCATTCCTAATACAGATGGAGGAGAGCAGGAACAGTACTATTGTTATGTGCTTGTCCTGTCGTACACAGACTCAGTGAAATCAAAAGACACCTTCTGCTTCAATGCCTTAAAAACAGAAAAATGCAAGAAAGAATGGTTCTAATGCAGAGAACTGTCTTGAGGAATTTGATGCAATTCGAGCTACATGTGCAGTTATAAGGCAGAAGGAAGGATGTCTGAGAATATAGTTCACATTGCTCTAAAGTTACAGGAAAAGCAGAAGACTAACAACAAACACTACTTGAAGTAAGAAAACAAACTGAAAACTACATGAGTAAGAAAACTACATGAAGGACAGGAAAGCCCATACTTTTATTCAACATATATGGGGGTGGGAAGGGAGTATGGAACTGTGAGAAAATGTAGAAAAACACTAGTATCAGCAGCCATTTCAGTGGTTTTGTCTCCATAGAGGAGATGGTGGTTAGAGAAGGGCATGGGCAAACATAAAGCTATCGAGGAAAGGGGTTAATGATAATCAGAAATTGTATCATCTGATCTTAAGAATGTCTTTGACAATAGGTTAGTATCTTGAACAAAATATGGTAATACTTCTAATTAAATAAACCAGTCAAGTGGTAGCAGTGTATGTTTGGTCAACAGTATTTCCTGGAATTGGTGGATACACACTCATGAAAGGGAGCAAGAATTCTAAATGAATTCTAATAAAAGCAGGGGCCAGTCACAACACATCCCTCTGAGAAGGCAGAAATTGACTTTACACTGCTGAACTACACCCTAAATTAGAGGCAAAAATTTCCAGAATATATGGCTTTTTCATCAAACAGCATGGATGTTCTCATAAGTCTTATTTCAGACCTTAAATGTTATGGAGTAATTGTCTCTGAAATGCAGCAGATATATAGTAGTGGGGATATATGTGAACTGGGATGCAGCAGAAAAGCCGACAGGTAAGGAAACAACCACGGGATTCCAAAATGAAGCTTAAATGTGCAGTTAGGGACAAATAAATAAATAATGCAATGGTAGTTGCAGAATCAGGCTACGGGGTTACAGAGAAGTTCATAAAATAAGGCAAAATAAGGAAGGTCAGCTGCTGTGCACATTGCTTTATAACCAAGTGAAGCAATAAGTGCCAGTGAGAAAAGAATGAATGGATTTCCAGGAGGAGTAGGTTTTTAAAACATCAGCACTGCAGAATTTCTGTTTCCTTGCATTGGGAAAAGATAAAGTTTTACTTTAAAAGCTTATAAAGACAAACAAAAGAACAATTAGGAAAAAATAAATAATGCAGACCATAACATATTGTATACTACATATTTTTGATAACAAACTACCTTTATTTCTCTTTTTCCAGAGTCTGTAAGAAGAGATTATTTTGAAATATGTGCAGTAGTATCTAAATTTTGTTCCATGTGACACTAATAATGCTATTTTAAATAATCATGTTATATGGAAAAACAATTGCTTGTTTGATGCAACAGCCATTATTCAAAACTTCTATAAAATGTTTAAACATTTTTTGACTGAAGTGTTTGGAAAAAGAATGAACTTGGTGGCATGGAATAGCAAAAAGCTACTGAGAAATTCAATAGTTACTAAATGGGCAGTATTTGTTACAGGCCTGGTTTTAAGAGGCAATGAAGCACAGCACAGGCCAAAATTACAGCGAGAACAGAAGCAAACAGCAAACCTATTTATGGAAAAGAGATATAACATGCCATATAGTTAACCATCTATATCCCCAAATGACAGAAATATTGTCTAAATTACATTGCTTTCATATCATGGTTTCTCTGGAACTGCGATCCCCTCGTTAAAAAAAAACTCATATCATGTCCCTAGGGGAAAAAATCACTGCACTCTCAAATGAACTGTATTGTCTCCCCATGTTTCTCCTACTTGATATGTAACTGGTATTAAAAAAAAACAGCTGAAACAGCAGACTGTTCAATGTGAACAAGCAAAGTGCTATTGGAATTTTGCACAACTGTTGTTCATTTACTTACACATACTGCCTTTTATTACTTCCTGACACTGACACATGCAGGTTTTCTGATGACTGGCTTAATTAATCTAAACTATTACAGTAGTTCCTGTTCCCACAGGATATAGAAGGTCCTGAAATTGTCAATTTCCTTTCACAATTCTTTTCTTTCTTTCTTTTTTACATAAAATAAACAGCTTTTATTATATTGCTCTCAATAGAGGCCAAAAGGGAGGTGCCTGCAATGAAGAAATTTTTATTTAATATTGGAAGGGAACTTTGTAAACAAATCTAACACAAATAATTTGGTCTTGATCATGGGGAAATACACTGCATTCAATAAACCATTCTAGAAGTACTGTGTGGAACCTTGATCTTAATTCTGCTCCTACCCAATCACAGAAACGCAACGCTTCAGTCATGGAAGGCCTCTAATGTGGGGAAAAAAGTTTACTTTCAGCCCGGATATTTGGTTCCCAACATTCAGAGACAGCTTATAGTCTCTGGAGAAGGGTTCACGCTTCCCTTGTTTGGGTGGTGTGTCCAGTTATGAGTCACCTTATATCAGTATTACTAGTACTGTCATATCTCTGAATCTTCACAAATTATCACACCCAATACATTATGTAGGAGAATTTGTTGCATAATCTCTATTCATGCAAAAGGAGTTCTCGTATATGTGGGTTAGGTTCTGTCAAGAAACTTCCAACTTATGGAAACATTAACTGAGTTTCAAGACAAAAACATTAGGGCACCTTAAAGACTAACTGGTACCTCGACTTGAGAACGTCCCTACATCTGAACGATTAGAGTTAAGAATGGCTCCATTCGCAAAAAGTTGCTTCGACTTGAGAACGGAGTTTCGACTTAAGAACCAAAAAAGAGGGGGGGGGGAAAACACCCTTTCCTGCCTTTTTTGACCTAAGTCCACCTTGGGTCAAAAGAAAAAGAAAAATTTCGCCCCCTAGTGGTAGAGGACAGATTAACTGGCTTTGCATTAGTTCCGATGGGAACTAATGCTTCGACTTAAGAACGAAAAACAGCAGATACGGATTAAACAGTTTTCAATGCATTCCTACGGGAAATGGTGCTTCGACTTAAGAACGTTTTGACTTAAGAACGCAGTCCCAATACGGATTAAGTTCTTAAGTCAAGGTACCACTGTACATATTATTATGAGCTTTCGAGAACAAGTCAGACTTCTTCAGAGTTTTTAAGGTATGTGAGATGCTTAAGAAATGGTTTTGCCATTGCCACTCCACATTGAGTTTCTAAAGCCAAGCAAACATGTGAACCCCGGTCTCTTGAATCCTCATGCAACACTCAGTCCCACATACAGCAGCCTTCACAGCAGCAATGCTAGGTGGGCGATGCATGAAGTCTTGCTGGGCAGGAACAACACATAAAGCCCACCCTTTCAACCAGAGCTTAACCCAAGTCAGAGTCAACTTCAGGACTTGCTTTTACATATCCAAACTTGTGACCTCTGCAAAGTTAAAAAGCAGTTTCAAGTATGTGTGTGGCAGGGGTGTTCTGTTGAGTTTTGAAGGCACTCCTCATGACAGCCCCACAACCAACAGGCCAGGCTCTTTAATTATACTGGATTTAAACAAAGACCTTTCACCACTCTGGGTGTGTTGATGGCTTATCTATGCTCGAATGTCCTTGCCCCCCACCAATGACTTCTGAATGACACTTCACAGCCACAATAGAGATCTTGATTTGTCATCTTCAAGGACTACCAAAAGACCTTCACAGCTGCTGAAGGCTCATCACTATCTTGGATCTTCTGCACTGCCACTACATTGCATAAGCCCATCCTCCTCCTTTCTGTACAAATGACTATGTTTCCTGAGCTTACCACCTAGGAAGGAGCCTTCGGAAGGAGCAGGCTGCAGAAAGCCCCCAAAAGCTGAAGGCAAATAAAATCTGGTTCGCCTTCAAGAAGCCACAAGGGTCCTTCCTTCCTCGCCAGGGACCCCAGAGGGGATGGCGCTCCTTGCGCAGGCGAGAGGAGCCATCTGGACTCGCTCAGGGGCGCTCTCGCTCTCGCTTGGCGTGCCTTCCCCCGTGGACGCGCCGGCCTTGAGAGAGGAAGCCCCGGCTCCTCCGGCTCCGGCTCCTGCTCCGGCTCCCGCCCGCCTTGCCACCCGCAGCCGGCGAGTACAGTATGTACCTGTATTTCCTGAAGAGCTGGTCGGACTCCCGGAAGCCGTTGTTGAGCAGCATGTTGATGCCGGCCAGCGCCAACTCGGAGTCCTCGATGGGCAACGGCGACTCGCCGGTCCCGCCGCCCTCCTGCTCAGACCCGGCCATGGCAGCGGAGCAGGTGGGAGGGGGGAGGAAAACCCACCCAAGCAGGTCTCCTCGTCTTTCTCACACGGTGCGCCGCCTCCACCGGTAGAGACGAGAGGAGGAGGAGGAGGAGCGGCGAATGGAGGGGGGGGAGAGAAGGGAGGGAAGCAAGCAAGCAAGCAAGAAGGGCAGCCAGGAAAACCGAGGCTGCCTCCTTCCCGCCCTTTCAGGCGGCGTCCGCCCTGCCGCCGTTCAGAAGCGCCGCTCGCTCCCTCGCTCGCTCGCTCCCGCCGCGGCTGCCAAGGAGCGCTCGCCGGTGAGGAAGGAGGGACGCTGCAGCCCTCCAGGCAAGGGCTGGCTGGCGAGCAGCGCGCCTGCGCGAGAGACTGCGCACTCGGGGGGGACGCCGGCGCCTTGGGTGTCGCTCGTCTCGCTTCCAAGTCAAGAAATCTTGGGCGGGACTTCATTGGGGGTTCCTGTTTCCTACACAGCGTAGAAATAAAAGGTCGCTCTATTTATTTAAAAACGGGAAAAAGGAAAAGAAAGGTGGATCCCATTAAGACAGGGAGGAAAAGGAGGAGACCAGTGAATATCGCGCGAGCCATGGAGGAGCGGTCCCTGCGATGCAGTGCTTTTATGTCCGTGGCCAACCAGGTGCTTTCAAGGCGAAGTAGCTACATTTCTGTTTGGTAATATCTCTAGATACCTGTGGCTGCTGAGCGTGGGAGTGCCGTCTAAAATTTCGTTGTTAAACTCGCTGTGCATGTTTACTCGAAAGTAAGTTCCATTGATTTCAGTATTTTGATTTACATGCAGTTTTTCCTCCCCCATCCCGGCGCTCAGTTGCAAAAATACCTGGCTCAGGACGCAGCTGTCAATATAATAACGTAACGTCCTCAATATAAATATTAATATTAAAATCATCAGTAGTGCTTACTCTTATTTTTGGTGTGTTCAAGATTGGAGATTTAAACGGTAAATGATTAAGTCTGTGCGAAACAACTACCATATATTTTCAAACGTTCAGTAATGTTTTTGTGTTGTTGCTGTGTGCTTTAATTTACGTAAAAGTTGCTTCTAGAGTCAAACTGTTATATATGCATGCTGTATTAACTGAAATTTATGATGTCCCTGCATTTATTTGTTTGTGTGTGTGTGTGTGTGTGTGTGTGTGTGTGAGAGAGAGAGAGAGAGAGAGAGAGAGAGACCCAAAATTTTTATTGGGAAAAATAAATAAGTTCAGTTTACTTTTTCAGTGTAGAAACAAAGCACATTTTCCCTTCATTCTTATGGATTGGAGTCTGTATAAGGCTGCTATACTTCAAGCTGGCAATAAGTCCCTTTGTCAATGGGGAATAAGAGCTGAGTTGACATGTATGAAATTCCACTCTGTAGCGTACTTATTTACCAGTTCTATAATCCTAAATACATTGCTTAGATGTAAAATTTTATACTATTTTATTGAGTACTCTGTATTATTGTTATTATTTCTTACTCTTTTGTTTATTACTGCTTTTTGATTTATTTATTGTCAATTGCCCAACATAGTGCTTTGAACCAATTGTGCAGTATAAAAGTGAAATAAATAAATCATACAAATACTCCTATATGTGATCCTGTGCATACTTATTTAGAGGTTAATTAATTCACTTGGAGATATTTTTAAACTTAGCATTTTAATGACGGTGTAACACTAGTATGTCCGAAATATTGCCGTGTCAGTACGCCCGTCTGTCTGCAAAGGTTCTATGAGATTTTAAATGCACAGAGAATATCCAGGTACACAACTGAAATATTTTGGAGAAATCGCTATTGGTGTTTAAGCCACAAGAAGCCAAAAAGACTATACTGTAATAGTTTTGCAGAAAATAGTGAATCATAGGAACAGTTTGGGTTGTGTCTATTTTCTACAGAGTTTTTTAAAGAGTATAAATGTTCATTTATGTAGGACTGGATACTTAATATTTTACCTGGTGTCAAAATTGGCTTTTGTACACAAGGTCAGCATCCTTAGACACCTGCTGAGACTTTCATCACTGCAGGGTGCCTATTGGCAATGCTCAGAACCACTTTAGCCTCCTGCTCTTCTTCCTTGCTATTGCTATATAGTCATCTGCTCTTTCCTAGCGTACGACTAGAGTAAGGACTACAACAACATAAATTAATTCCCAACAAGATCATTCTTCACACTGATGATTTTGAATTTGGAAGGGAACTTATGGGGCACAGTAATTTGAAATTCAGTACCCTGTGTTGTGAGGCTAAATTTTTCTCTGCTGCATATATGATGTATGGTTCTACTTTTCAGTGTATCCGTGTATTCAATGTAACTGTTAGACTATTTAGCCTGCCGCCAGCAGAAATGGCGTAAAATGTTAAACCTATGGTCATTTTTTTTAGTAGTGCTTGTTTTAGAGTCAGCAAGTAAAAGGTTCCAGGTGACTTAGCAACAAAAAGATGGGTTTTTTTTTCTTTAAAATTAATTTGACCTTCTTTAAAATTACGACAAACCCTTACCAGCCATTTAAAATCATATTTGCCTACCCTCCTCCAAAAACTAAAGATGTCCTAAATCTGCGTGGCATTGACTACAGCACATATGACTGAAATAAGTCTCAAAAATGTTTTCTTCTCACATGAGATTGTGATTGTCTCAAAAAATATAAGCATGTCAGTGTACTTTTAGCTAGCCAGATCTAAAGAAAAGAGTGTTCTTCCATGTATTGTCCCATAAGTAACTCCTGTACAAGTCTTGCTTTCATTTGTCTTCTGGCCAAAATGGTGAGAGTAAGACATTTTAAAGTCCAAGATCTGACAACTGCAGCAATCTACTTCCTGATGCCTGATAGTTTATCCTGTACATAGGCACCAAAAAACAAATACAATTCTCCCCCTTCTCCAAATTCATATTAGTAACTAGCCCATATGTTTGACTGTTAGCATAATCCTATGCATTTCTTCAGAACTAGGGTCCCCTGAGTTCAAATTCTTCTTCAGATCACATAGCATACAGCAGGCAAGCTAATCTATTTTGTGGTCATTCAGACAATTATAGCTGTATACAGGCTGTTATTGTATATAGGGAAGTTGGGATGGGACGCAGCAAAGATAATTCTGCACACATGTTTCTCTAAACGGGTTTGGTCTCTCATCTATGTGAGCTAATACGGCATAGTGTTTACAAGATTAGAATTCAAATCCCCAGAAGCTGACTGGTTTACTTTGGGCCAGTCACTGTTAGCCTAACCTAGTTTCAAGGGCTGTTGGGATAGTAAAATAGGACATATTGGAGATAACTATGTAAATAGCATTGAGCTTATTGTAAGGAAGATGGGATATAAATGCAATAACGAAGTAAGCAAACAAATTGAGTGTCATATGAAAATCTCAAGTACCTGTGCAAAGGATTGTATGGTATATTTATTTATTAAATCTATATACTTCTTCATAACTACTATTCTCTCAATTAATATACTGTTCAATAAAATGAGAATCATGGTGGTAGCATATAAAATAGCTGAATGCCCTGAATTATAGCTGTGTAGTTCCCCAGATCTATGAGAGCCATACTTTTTCATCAACTCTGCTTGGCATCCATGCAATCTCGGTGTGCCAAATACTTCTGCAGATATGACACATTGAAAATTGTGTTTCTGCTGCACAAAAACAGACATCAGTGGTCAAGCATTTTAGTGCCACTGTTAGGATCAGAGCCTCTTCTTCAAACTTTTATAGTCCTTTTCCTGTACATTTAATCTCTTCACTGTGGAACAATGTATTCATCTGGACTAGACATGGGAGCTTTGTATTTGTATCCCAGGGGATATGAATATGGGTTTTGTCTCCCCAGGTGCCACAGCACTCCATTCTTGCCCCCCAGAAGTAGCCCGATCCACTCACTGGGCTGCTCATAGCACACACATCCAATGACAGTGACATCACACCATCGTGGAAGTAGACCCACCAGTACTGCCCTGCCTCTCCCCACAGGTGACCCACTCTAGCGAGGAGACAATAAGACCTGTGTGCTCCACTGCTAAGTGGTTGGCTCCCCATTCAGCGGCAGAGTGGTCAGCTGTGGGGAGAAGTGGGGCAGCACCCATGGGACTACTTCCGCAATTGGCACAGTATAGCCACCATCAGATGCACTGCTGCAAAGAGCTTGGTAAGTGGACCGGGCTGGTTCTGGACTGTGTATCCCCTGGGATACAAATATGAAGCTCCATATCTAATCCGAACAATATAAAACCTAGTGTATTGGTGTTTGCAAATCTTTGTTCTACACTGCTGTGTTCCATGGTTAATATGTCAATAGTTGTTCAAGGTCATATTTTCTAGAGGTTTCTTACAAAATTTCACAAGTGGAGGTTTTTTCAATGTAGGCAGAAGGGATCAGAAAGAGATAGAAGATTCTATCCACCTGTATTCATTCATTCATTCGTTCCCAATATGTAACCTTCTTGGTGGGTTCATTTGCATGATACCTTCATAAAATCATGAAAAGGCACTACTGCCTGCCTGCATTTAATTTTGACTGGATCAGCTAAAGAACTGGCTTTGTGAGGGAAGTTTACATCCGCCACTCCCACCCCGACCCACACTTCTTTCTAACCTCTCCCTCTGAAAGTAAAAACGTTATCATCAGTCAGTCCCCAACGCTGTCTGTAGCTCCTTCTACTATTCCTTCCAGAAAGAAAGAAAAACACGGATCCATTTACATACTCATGACAATTCAGCCCAAATCTCCAGATGGCATCATCCAGCAAATTTCCTGTTGGGCTGTCTGTCTTTCATGTTGATCTCCTAGCTTCCATTTTGGTTGGTTAAGCAAAGCTGCAATATTCTCACCATTGGAGGATGGAGCAAATTATAGTCAAGCTGACTTAATGATGTTTTAAGAAATGAAGCTAGATGGAGAGAAGAGATGTAATGGTCAGATGCTACTAACAAGCTTGTTTATACAGTACTTTAGTTGTGCATATCTGAGCTTATCACTGAATAGGTAGCAGTTGACATGCTTGTATTGCCACCCAAAGTTTAATGAAGTATTACCAATTGCAACCTTTTGGTGTAAACAGCAAAGGTATATAAAGGAGTCCTGACTCCTGACCTCTGAAGATGCCGGCCACAGAGATTGGTGAAACATTAGGAAGAACAACCTTCAGAACATGGCCAAAGAGCCCAAAAAAACCACAACAACCACTATATAAAGATTGTTTGCTTCATTCAGTGGGGGTTCAGAATTCTTGTGTGGACTTGTGAGCCTTGCTGTCATCCATTCCAGCTATTGGGTACCTGTCAATAAACTTGTCTCCTTATATGTAAACCTGGACTTGCCTGTCATTTCCTCAGGATCCTTTCAGATTTTGCTGTTTCTACAGCTGGAGGATATATCTTCAAATTCTGCAAAGGAAACTCGGCATAAGCAGACATTTCCCCCGTTGTCAAGGAGACTACAGTATTATATACACCATGCACATATGGCATATGTCCTAGAATCAAAGGCAAGTGGATCAGGCCTGACTCCAGTGCACTTCCATATGTTTGTTGAAGTCTTCCATGCATGGCAGTTATTGGATTAGGATGCCAATTTTATAATATTTTCTATACCGTTGTCAGCTGTCTTTCCATGCATGGCAGTTATTGGATTAGGATGGCAATTTCATAATACAGTATTTTCTATACCGTTGTTGTCAGCTGTCTGCAGGCTACCTTGCTGTCTTTATTTGAATAGCACTGAGAATTTTGGAAGGAAACTGAGAAAGATGGGGAAGAATAAATATATTGTTGCAATAAATGTTTTATTGGCCCTATCTTCTGTTCTTGGATCCAGAGGTCAGCATGCAATGTTGTTTTCTTACATTGCAGTAATTGCTTATAAATAGAACTTCTGAATCAGTAATACGAGGGGGCTGAAAGGATCAGTCATGAGATAACAACGTAATGAAATCATACAGTACTAGAATCTTTCAGTTCCCATTAAGGCTTTGGTATAAGCTGGCTATTCCTAACAAATTGTTACCACATGACAGCTTTCCTAAGGCACCTCCAAATAAAAATGATCTTGTGTTCTTCTAGGCTAGTAGCCAATGAATATGGATTCTTTTTTTAAAAAAACTTATAAAATATAAAAGGTAC